GACACCACAACCTGTAGCGGAGCCACAGCCAGAGCCGGAACCCCGAACCCAACCCCAACCCCAACCGCAGCCACAGATACATACACAGACTCAACGAACGTCAGAAACACCTGTCGACGATGTCAAACAGCATGCTCCAACGCCCGCGGATACATTCAAACCTCCGCCTCAAGTCATCAAGCGCACAAACTCGACCAGCATCATCTCTCTTGATTTGACCGACGAACAAGCCGAGCGCGTGTACTTTATCTGGTCGGTCGATGATGAAGGCATGGAAATGGATTTTATTCATACGCTGCGCGAATGCAAGTCTTTTGGAGGCCTGCTCAGCCTGTTGGAGGAAGAATCTGAGGACCTACCGTCTGCTGCGAGCATATTGGAGAAAACAAAAACCTGGAAACTGACATACGATCTTGGTGACGGTATCAGCAAAGCGATCGTAGCCCGCAAAGGCACGGAGACCGCATTCGATCGTCTACAGACTACACTTGCTCAAGCGTCTATCTGGGCAGACAATCCTCAAGCAAAAGTCGATATCGTACTCAAGTCTTTGAGCCGGCCAAACCCTGCTTGAGCGGCATGAACAACGGTCATCCTAGAATTCCACCCTCGGCGTTCTTCGAAGGTGTGCTCTTTCTCACTTTCTCTAGCATCTACATACCATTGAGTACATCGATGGCTTTTTTGCGTTGTCCTACATATACCCCGATCACTTTTGATCTTTCGCGTGCGAGTTGGTCGAAAGCATTGATACCAGGCTGGCGGTTGTATAGCACTGGTGCTCCATGAGGCTGGGCAGGATCCAGGCAACTCATAAAATGTATATACATACGATTACTAATGACGATCTCTATGTGGCCTTTTCTCGCAAAACTTGCAGAGCCTCTGTTTGGGTGTGTGCATATGCTACAGCACATGCGATGATGTAGTAATTCCCCATCGCCTGTACACCAGCGAAATCTGCCCGCCACTGCGCATCTGATGTCAGTCGCGCCAATAAGTGGAAAAGGAAATGCAGTCGTATGCATAGACCTGGGCCACAAGACATTACTGTCAGCAGCGGTGAGCTGCATTTCGCCACCTCGTAGACGAAGAACAATGTGCACAATGCCTTGTGTAAGTGATTTGGGGGGATCGTCGGCTAACGCGATGTTCCAGCCAATCGGCAGCAACTGCCCTCTGGTTCCGCCTGCCATTCCCAGGCGGGTGCCGCTAACCTGTAGACGAAGCTTTCATACGCCGCTATGGTTTCTTCATCTGTACTTTTCTTATCATCTATCGTGTTCTCGATTCATCTTTGAGAATGTCGTTCGTTTCCCTTGCGCGCCCCATCACTGACTCGTACATGCTCTAGACGGCCCTTTGGCGAAATTGCACGATCTGGCTGCCCCAGTCCTGAGAGCATCTGCATGTAATCATACCCGAGAAAATCAGCACTACACATCACACCTCCCTTGCATAGTCGCGACACCACAACGCTCGGAACTCATACGACTGTGTACGGCTGCATCGCTAGCCTACATTTAATTCACCTGGCGAGATTTTGCGATCCATGCATCTAGCCCAGACACCATGGACGGCTCAGCTATCACATACGCAACGTCCAAGGACTGGTTGGACATTATGAAGAATCGGTCAAAAGTGCGTATGCACGAGCTGATCGAGCGTCTTGGGTTGCGCGCAAAGTGGTCATCGAACAAACGCGGTAAAACAAACTTTGAATCCGCCCTCGTACGCGAGCTTGTTGCAGACATGGGCGATGTTGTCTCCACGTTACCGAAAGAGCCGGATGAACTGATGAAGTTTCTGAGCGACGAGGGAAGTTTGAAAGAGCAAGTCGATGGCTTACTTGAGAAACATGGCGCCAAGGTCTGGGGAAGAGTGGGCGATCGCGAGCACCTAATCACTGCGAATGAACCCGGAGTCGAAGAGGGACTTTACCCGCGGGATCTTTATTTGGAGAACGAGGAAGACAGAGCGTTGTAAGTACATAAACTCGAGAGCACATCTGTCTGGGGTTTGGGCCCTCGCAATAGAGCCGAATAGCTACTGACCCACTACGCAGAATTCACAAACTTCTCCATTGGTGGATCGGGCTGAAGGCATGCAACGTCATTCTTGCGCGCGAACGCCTGGATCGCGAGAGACGAAAGAAGGCAGAAAACCGCCAGGCGCGAGCTGATGCAGAGTTTTCTGGCCAGCAAGAGGGCGGCACGCCAGCATCATTTGTTGCGCTTGCACCAAACTCGGTGTTGCACGACGGCGATACAGCGTCACGTGGAAGCCCGATGTCGTCAAGTGCAATGCTCACACCTCCGGAATCTGGGGAAAGTCCCACTATGGGACCGCGGGAAGGAGGCGGGTTCACAGCTGTCAATGGCGGTGGACATGCAACGAATGGCAATGCCGCCTTTACATCGGCGAAAGCCCACGAACAACAGGCTACACAACAATCCAACATCGCCGAGGGTGTCTGGAACAAACTTACTGCTGAAGCGAACAAGTCTCGATATCTCAGTACGATGTCAGGCCCTGCTGCTACCCACGCTGCACATCCTACCGAGACCAAAGCAGCGGCACAACAGCAAATCACCGACGCGACCCAAGCGGCTGCTGATCGACAAGTCAGCGTCCAAATGGCCGCACTGGTAGCAAGCTTTCGGTCAGATGACGGTGTGCCAGAAGAGCTCCCGCAACCAAACAACAGCATACCCTACCGTGGTTTAGACTACGACGGCTTACGGGCGCTGCGGCAGTACATATATGGAGAGGAGCGAGGTGTTTCAATGGACGAGGAAGCGCTCCTCAACCAACTCGAAAGAACATGGCGAGAAGGCGTTCGAGCCGACTACAATAAGATGATCGAAAACATACCCGTTTTCATTGCGAGGGAACGAGCATTTCTGACTTGGGTGGAACTTAAGCGCCACCTGGCAGCTCTATTACGAGCAAACGAACGTACGTTTTACCAACTGCATCTGCATCCATTCTATCTTTACTTACCCTACTGCAGGTTGGTCAGCCGAAGGCCACACAGCTGCCGAGATCGAGAGGCGCATCCAACAGCACCGCACGCTCATGGGCTGCACGCAAACCATCATCGCCAATTTTGAAGATGTGGGCCGAGGATTTGGTCTTGGCCCCAACGTTGCTGTCGACCGCGATGAGCTCCTGCGACAGGCCATTGTGGTGTTGGCCGGAGAAAAGTACGCAGTAGAGATGCAGTGGAAGCCAGTAGACTTTACGCAAGTAATGGGCTGGCTGCACGACCACCTGGAGAGCTTCCGCAAGGAAGAAGAGGAAGATGGAAAGGGTATGCTCTGGTATATTGGCGAGTCACGACGCTAGTCGCAACTACCACGATGGAGACACGCACGTATCGTGCGCGCGGGCAGCTGTAGTCGCAAAAACTGTGTACGAGGATCATACAGGCGTTCAGGTTTTCAGGGCGACGATCGATCGCCAGGGTCGAGGCCCCCACTAGTAGGTGTCCAATTCGGGAAAATAAGCTATTCGGGTAGGTCAGCCGTAGAGTGGTGGTTTCAGCTACTTGATCATGTTACAGGACCGTGTAGGATTACACTAGCTCAGCTGTGCCACACCTCATCACCATGCAGTACGGGACTCTGCGACGCGTGATTTGCTTTAGTTTGCGATCGCCTGGAACGCGCGAGCGCATAGTGAGGGCGCGACTGTACGCAACTTCGATAGTTCGGCAGCTAGTATCCGAATGAATACACGGCTCGGCAGCACTTCGCAGTATACCTTTTCGCTTAGTGTATTCCCTGCAGCCAAGGGGCGTTGTCTTCAGGCTCCGCACTGCGCCGTAAATCTCCCTAATGCCACGTTCCTATTTTAGAGTGCAGGCAGTGACCGCGCCGCACATTCGTCACATTGCCTCACATTTTTTTCTTTCGAGCTGTGGCGTTTATCAGATCTCGCTGTACCTCCCATCAATATTATGCGGCGCGCGGTCTGGACAGGAACCGGTCGCACAGTTGAGTAATCGCAGCTCGGTAGTACAAATCTATGGGTGAGGGACGAGCGCGTCATAGATGCATGTGTAGTTGTAACTCCTGACCATGATACCAACGACATCTATCCCCGGCTATACGAAACCGTGATAGTGCCGCTTATTCGCTGATTGCATGTGGCGGCTAATGGAGGCTTTGAGTAAGAGGATCGGATGTTTTGGCCTATGCGAGTAAGAGTTGTGCTGCTAGCGACATATTCATTTGTACCTCGTGTATGATGAAGACCCCTGCGATAGATATGATTAGCATAATGCAGCAAATGAGCACCACGCTCATAGTGCAAGTGTCGTACAATGAACAGGCAAGGGCAAAGGAGACCCGCTGGGTGTGAACGAATGAGGATGGGGCGGTACTATGATTACACCTGATGGGGATTTATTGGCGTGCGAGTCATTAACTTCGGAGTGCGGACGCGTATTACCTCTGCACATGTTTTGTTGCGGCCCCTGCCGGATCATTGTCTCGCTACTGGACACACCTCTTTTCTGGGTATCTTTTCGACGCAGCGTACCGTCGTTCGCCTTCTACACGTCACCGGCATCAATCATCATCACCAATCCTTCTTTCGCCGCCCAACGCCCCTCTCATCAGCGCCTGTCGGTCCCTACTCCAGAGTACAATTGCTGCGCAGTTTGTTCTTCTTGTGTGTACAGGGGCATTCAATTCTTTGTCTAGTTTGGTAGCACGATCGGCATCTGAGACTGGACAAAGTTTTTCTTGGGGTAGCAGCAGCTGGCAATAAGAAAACTTTGTTCCAAGACGGCCTAGTGGAACGTACTCCTTTTACCTTTGCCGAGCGAGCTACCATCAATCACCCCAACCTTGGAACGTCGAGAGCGGATCCATCACACTTTGGCGCACGCGCCATTGATTGTCATTCCCCATCCCATCCGCTTACTTTTCCATCGTCATTTTCCTACTTCCCATTTCAACTGTTGACGTGCCCGTCGTCACCCATGTGGCGCCATGAGCTCAAAGGATAACTTGGCCCTGGATCTGGAGCACGGCGTGCGACGCTGGGATCGCGCTCGCTGGATATCCGTCTTCAGCTCGCATAACCCGACTATACGCGAGGTGACGGAATGCTTGGGCCTGGGCTTATCGGCGTCTTCGTCCACGACCAACCGCGGCATTCCGAAGTTCGACAACCCAGACTACCGCAAGCTCTCGAGTGAGGTGACGAAGCTGTCCAAGGAATTGCCAAAAGAAAGAGATTTGTTGCTGGATTTCGCGGCGGATCCGAGTTCCCTGAACCAGGAGCTCGAGGACCTGCTAGCGAGTTACGGACCCGCTATTTGGGGCAGGGATGCGGATCGCAGCTGTTTACTCACGCCGGATGCGTCCAAGAAGACGTATAACAAAGATCTGTTTTACGAGGAGCCGGAGCATAAGGATATGTAAGTTGGAGTGGTCAGGTGTCAGGTGTCAGAACGCGCGCTAAACCTATTTTAGTCTCAAGATTCATCTGCATCGGTGGATCATCATCAAAGCTTGCTACTACATTCGCAACATGAAGTTGAAGAGGCCATCGGGTGCGAATGAGTATGATCAGCTTGCCGATATCGATGCCGAAGGCCTTGTAAGTTTCGATGAGATGGTTGGTGTTGTCATGGCTAATAAGCGGTAGTCACCACATGGGACGCCACAGTCACTCACCCCACCAGATCCGGATACTGTTGCAGGCGCTGACCTTGACGTTAAACCTATTAATCTGAAGAAGCGCAAGAGCAATGCTCACCTCACCATGTCCGACGATGAAGATCCTGAGGCTTCGCCAATCAAAAGGCCGTACAGCACTATGCCTGTGAGCCGGAAGGGCAGCCCAAGGAAGTCACTCAAGTCACTGTATCCTGCAGGCCCGGGCAGCATGGAGAACATACCTCCTATGCCGACGCACATGCATCGTTTCTCGCCAGCACCAGGAACCGCATCTGAACCCTCGCGGATACAGCTCAGTCCTCTATCAAACAACGACTTGAACGGCGTGTCAAGGCCTCCTGCTATCACCCAAAGCTCCGCACCTGCAGGCTTCACGGCTGTCAACAACGGAGGTTTCACTGCTGTTAACAACACGCCTCCACCTAGCGAGCCGCCTCGAGAGCCAACACGGGAAGCATCCAGAGAACCGTCGAGAGAAGTGCACCGACCCCCTCCTGGTATTGGACATCGTCACAGCAACAGTTACACGAGCCCATATGAGCCGTCTTCACGCAGTGCTGCCATGGCTCGATCTGCTACGGAAACTCCTCGATCTGCACCGCCTGCCACTCCTACACCAGCTTCGAATCAAGGGTTTCAAGCAGTGAACGCATCTTCAGCAGCTAATGGAGCAGGTGGATATATGAAGAGGGAGTCTCCTGCCGTTCAGCCTCCTCAGCACACAAATATCGCTCCGCAGCCACAGCAGTCGCAACCGCAACCTCAAGCACAACTGCAGCAGCAACAGACACCGTCCCACCCTTCACACCCACACCAGGCATCACCGCATACACATCATCCTCAGCACACGCAGCTACCGTCACATCCGCACATTCAGGCTCAGCAACAGCCTCCACCCCAACCACCAAGTCGATCTAATACCCCGAGCCACCCCTTCGGCCGTTCTCTCGCACCACACCCTCGCAGTAGATCTAGTACACCACATGCGCAGGCCGCACCTAATCAGCCTATCATGGCACCTAATAAGCAGGTTACATCTGCACCCGCGATACAAAGCGCCCCCGCATACGGCATACAACTCGTTCCTACTACACAAGACGCACCGCCCGCGCCCTCGAGCAAACCCCGAGCGCCCTCAAACCACAGCCAACCCGCCACCGCCGTACCCCAACATACCTCACCCCACCAGCCCGTGCTGAAAAGCCACCAACAACCGCCTCAACCGCCCGAAACCGCACACGTCGTCCAGCCCCCACAACCCCAAACCTTCCCCCGCGGCTCCGTCTCGACGGCCGACCTCCGCCTCCTCCAATGCGAAGTCACCGCCGGCCTCTTCACCTTCTTCTACCCACGCTCCACAATGCCGCCCGACGAAGCCAGCCTCCTCGTCCGCATGCACACACTCTGGTACCACGGCGAAGCCCTCTTCCGCACAGAACTATCCACACACTACGATCTCGTTTCCAAGATCCTCACCGCATGGCTACACGAGCGTCAAGCCATCGCTTCACTACGGCACAGCATGGCCGCCAACCCTGGCGTGTCTCACATTGGCCTGGTAGACCGGTTGCTGGCCATGAACGATCTCAGGGCTATGCGGTTGAAGTGGAAGAATATGAGTAGTATTGATGGATTGAGTCCTGAGGATCTACTCTGTATGGCTTTTAGGGTTATGACGAATACGGAGGGGAGCGAGTATATGTTTAAAGACGGGTTGGCGAGGCTGGAGCTGGGCGTGTTTGAGTTTTTGAGGAGTGAGGATGCGAAGATTGTTATGCAGCGGAGGGATACGAGGGCGGGGTGATGGGAAGTCGGTTCAGTAGGGGGTTGAGGTGTTCCCCGATGGCTCTCTCCTTCTGTTCCTTCCTCCATCTTCTCCCCATTCCCGGTTTCTTTGCTTCTGCGATCTGCTTCGGTTCTCGTACCCGCTCGCATGCTATTTCTCTTTCTCGATTCCGATTCCGATCTCTCGCTTACCTTTGTACTAATGCCACTTAGCGTGGGTGGATGGGAGTCCTTGCGCATGTTCCTCTCGTTTTCTGGCGTTGAACTTGCTTTTCAAAACGTATTAGCGATGGCGTTTGGGACATTACCTCTTTCGTTCGAATGTTCTGTTTTCTTTTTCGACTGTGTTCAATACGAAAAGCGGGTTGTGGGTTTCGATATTAGCTTTGTGTTACTAAATTGGTATGAATAGTCGTTGTAATCGGGTGGTGGGATCGAGATTGGGGGCGTGGTAATGATTGTGCGATGCGGAGTAGAATAATTGAACGCAATCGGAGAATGAAGCTTGTATTAATCACAGTATGAATGTACCGAAGTTGTGAAATCGTCTTTTGTTCGATGCTGCATGCGACGAGACTCCATCTCCCACTCGCGCAATGACCAGATGCGATCATCCACTGGCGGTCTGGACCTATGAGGTCGTCTGACCACACGTCCTCACGTGCACCCTCCGACCCCGGCCTCACACATCATCGCCAGTGTCGCCCACCCACCCATCCCGACTAAGACACAACGACACCCTCTTCACGCGGCCTCGCCCCTTGCGCCCCCCTTCAGCCTTCCCATGCGAACATAGCAGGGATTAAACCTGTCCCGCTGCGATGCGCCTTCCCGGCGGCCGCCCGCCGTAGCTGCTTCCGGAACCTTGTTCCTTCACATCTGCCTCATGACACCCTCCAGGCGCGCCCAACTAGGCACTCACCGGTAGTGCCCACGCACCTTCACTGCCATGAGCGGCCTCGTGAATGCCCCACGCGCTCGCTGCAGCCGCACACTATTTTATAGCCGTGGATCGTGGACAGCAAGCATATGATTCCACACTCTATCGCTTATCTTGTACTACGCGCGTAGTTTGGGCACCATGGTGCTGAGACTCTTTGTGCCGCCTGGTATGTCTCGCCGAAGACGATGTGGAGAAGTATTTGCTAACTAGATGGTGTAGGCGAAGGGCAACACCGCCTTACTCCCAAACGGCCTGATCCCATCGGTGCGAACGCGACAACCCAGTACGCCGTCATCTCCTCGACCGTCCTTGCCGCCGCGTATACGTCCTTCGCCTCGAGATATGCACAGAGCGTCACTCCCACGAGGCCGATATCCAGGCCGGCGGTGTTCATACGGGCTTCGGCAAGGCTAGGGGTTTGGGCGGGCGTGGCAGGTGCGGCGCTGAACTGGTATTACTACTCCGCTTTTGCGGATGTCTTGGTGTCGACAAATGTACCGAAAATCAAGCCCTGGAAGCTGTATGAGCGGACAAAGAAGTATACCGTTGACGATGGTGCTCTGGCAGGTGCGGCATTGGGCCTGGCTGTCTCGGTGCCTACGCTGTTTATGCGCCGGCCTGCCATACCCAGGTGGACGCGCTGCTCAGGCATGACGAACATCGGCGCTTGTGCCGGTGTTCTGGGAGCGCATGCATATTTTCAGTACAGCGGAGAGAGGCAGGAGGCATACAAACACTTTGGTCGACATGTCAAGCGACGATCATTCGAGTTCTGGAACATCTTCTGGGATCCGGAGCTCATGGCGAGCCTCGACCCCATCATGCAGCAATACGTCTCACACAACAGCCTCTGGTACACACGGTGGCTGTCAGATGAGGCCTTTGAGCGAGCAGAACAGGACGCGCAACTCGAAAACAGCAGCAGTGAGCCCATGGCAGTTTCTGCAACACCTGTCGAGCAACAGCCACCGTTCTACACTACACCCTTCGACTATGCCGAAGACCTGCGACGTGTCGACGTTGGAAGCACGCTGTCTACTATGGAAACCATGGAAGCGGACAAGAGGGAACTACTCCGGGAGGCTGAATACCTGCTTTACATAAACGCACAGCAAAAATACGACCACTGCCACATGGAGTCTTCGGACGAGGATGAACGTCAAAACCTCCTCCGGCAAATCCAACTCGTCGACATAGCCTACGTCAGTCTTCGCAACGCAGCCCACGACATCGACATCAAGCTCAAACAATGGCGCATTAGCCTCCGACACAAAACAATTTGGGAAGCAGGCCAAACCACCGCGAAAGGGACGGATAGGCCTGCCGACTGGGTACCCGAGCCGCAATGTATATCACCCACTATCGAAGCCATCGTCCCCGCCACACACAAACCGACATACTCAATGGGCGAACTAGAAAGAATACATCACCAGATTTCTGGAGAGGTCAAGACATTTGAGGATGGTTGGAAAGATGACACACAACCGAGGGATAAGAGGGAGAGGTGGAAGAAGGATGCAGAGGACGGGAGAAAGTTTTTGAGAGCGGCGGATGTTGTATTGTTAAAGTTGCAGAAGGCGAGAGAAAGGGTTGAGGAAAGTGGCCGGGTCGTAGAAGCGGGGGTGGATAGCGCGATGGCGATGCAAGAGAAAGAGGAAGACGATAGACGTGGGAGCAGAGATGGTACTGTTCCGGCAACAACGGCTGAAGTCGCGGAGTTACAAGAAGGTCCCTTGCTTACTAGAAACCAGGTTGAGAAGTCGAGCGCGCATGGAGTACAAGGGACGAAAACGTCTGCTGGGGCTTTGGATAGGGATAAGTCGTGAGAGTTGACTTGCTGAGGGTAGATTTGGGGTTACTATTCATCGTTCAAGTTATGGTTGAGATGGTAGCGAGGAAACGGTACCAGAAGCGAGGAATCAACACAGTTGGTACTCGTTCCGTGTGGCTCTGATGTTGATGATTGTATAGTATGGATTTGGCTTGTCCTTCTGATGATGGATTGAGAGGGCGCTGGACGTCTGGTCAGGCGGATGTCTATGTTATGTACTGTAGGTCACTGCCACAACTCGTCTTCCCACTTCATCATGTTACTTGTCTGCCTCAAGGTCACTCTTACGTCTTCAGCATGCCTGAATATCATTATTCCCTTGTTGACCGTATATTCCTTTGGGTGTCCTTATTCACGTTCACTCCTACAACTACATTGCTTACCTCCCTCTCGAACGTCGCGTCATCCGATCTCCTAGAGTCTACATCCCTCCTCGCCATCTTGGCCGCGCTCGCGCAGGTGTTCACGTCGCTGCCCGGCTCGCCGGAGCGTCACGCTTCCGCTCCACCTATCGCCACTGCAGTCGCCAAGCGGATGGCATGAGGAGAGTTGTTCCGGGGGTGACTACTTGGCTGTATTCCTGGGTAGAATCATGATATTCGAGACGATCGAGTTTTAGAGATCAAGATCGCAGCACAGAAAACAACTGCATTGCGCGTTGTGCATTTACTTCAGCATCTATATGTTCACGAAAGCAATGCACCACTTCATTCCAGCCTCGTCTTCGGCCCTTCACCTTAGCCACTGGGAATTTACCAAAAAGTCTACATATTAGTACCGGTTCTAACCACGTTTGAACCTAGTGCTAGCGTAAGCTGCACTGTCCATCTTTGTCTCCCAGCCCTGTACCTACTGCCATCGCGTCGTCGATCGAGATACCAGCCTCAAAGGCTCAAATGAAACCGGCGATTTGGTTCGGAACTTTGGTTCACATCGCAATTTGGCATTCCCGCATCACGTATGTCACGATGACCGACCGGCAGTTACCTTGACTACCGCGCCGTGAGATCAGCGGCGGTATGCCAGCTTGAAACATGGACAGCTCAGCTCGAACCTTCCATGGACGTACCTAATGTACTCGTGTTTCTCCTGTCAAACGTCCTCTAGCTAGCCGCGCAATCTGTACTGCGGTCTACTTTATGAGAGCAGGAATACGGAACCAGCTAGCCTGTGTGAAGTTAGCATCGCGGTTCAATCGCGGCTTTACAACTGAGGGAATGAGGGAGGAACCACTGTTAATACAAAACGGACGCGCACTAGACCTCGGGTTATTACTCATGCGATACGTACGTGCGCAGCAGCAGCCCCCATAGCTTCTGGACCGGAGTGATAGGTGATATATATACACCTGCTTTCCGTTGCGCAAGGCTGGATATCTTCGGATTTTTGAATGACCACTACACGTTCGTTAAAACGACCAACATGAAACTCTTCGCCCCTGTTATCCTTGCTCTCGCCGCCGCATCCGAAGCCGCGTTTTGTAACGGTGGATGGGGTTTACCGGGTGGTTCTACGTGTCCTGGTGCCTACGTAAGTTCACGTCCTAATCCACTTCTAATTCCCGCCTCTCCCTTCCCCCAAAAAGTCATACCCTTTAATGACAATTACTAACGTTTTCCCAGCCAAACTCCTTCTGCGTAAGTCCCCAACCCCAACAACAACACCAACAACAACGCAAAGAAACAAGTTCCAACCTCTAACATGACATATGTGTAGTGCCAGAGTCCTGGAGCGCCGAGCAGGAACTTTCCTACGTTTAGGAATTGCGTTTACCCTGGTAGTGGGGGGAGGCCGAGTCTGAATGGGTGTGGTGCTGGTGGTGTAAGTGGTTCAAATCTGTGTGTGAAGGGGATAATGAGGCTAATGTTTTGGGTGTGGACAGATCATCAGCTGCGTAAGTTGTGGAGGGAGGGTTGAGAGTGATGGTGTGCTAATGATTGTAGTGCGGTTGATTTCGTCGCGAAGTACCGTTGCTCGATGTGGTGGATCACCGGACCGTAATCGCTGTTGCCGGAATGGGAATGGACATGCTTGGGCAGCAATACCTTTAGACGTTAGACCACCTTACTTAATTAATAGATTGCGCTTCGTCAGTTCATTGCGATATGAATGCGTTCACTCCTTCGGTAGAGTGAAGTCGTGCTTGCGAAAACGACGTGAGCTGACGCAGCAGCGAAGTCACTTGGAATAAGCCGACATCTTCTCCCAAACCATTTCGCGAGCGGACCATGTCTCTGCCATCGAT